AAAAAAAAAAAAAAAAAAAAAAAAAAAAAAAAAAAAAACACAAATGACATATGACATATCTAATACCCATAAATTGCCATTGACAAAAAGTTCTATATTGCACCAAAACCATTACTTGCTCCCTCCATATATGTGAACCAAACCCTTAATGCAACCAAACCAATAAAAGAAAACTCCCTTCATTATGTAAACTAATAGTCAGTGGCTACCTAACCTATGTAAACCCCATGCACAAGTTTTTTCTAACGAAGTATCCTCGTCGCCCATCGTACGTACAACCAAGAGCTACACTGCAAAGACTTTCATTCAGCCAAAAGTGGTAGAGGCTGTCAAAATTGGCAAAGGAAAGACAAAGAGATAGAAACGCATGTTTTTCAAATGTGGGAAGACGAAGGGAAAGAAGAATAAACGAAGTACAAGTTTACCAAAAGTTGAAGAAAGATGACAAGATATATTTCCCCTCATTTTTATTATTTACTCCATTCGGTTCCCAATACAAATAAGAGAAAAAAAATCTTTTATATTGATCAATAAAAGTACTTTGTATTATTTAATTTTATTAATCTTATCTAAAATTAACTTATATTTTAAACTATTAATTTTTAAAATTTGTTATCAAGAACAGAAAAGACAATGAAAGTATAATTTTAATTAAATAAAAATATTTTTAAAATAATAATATTATATATAGTGAGATTAACTTATATTTAAAATTAACAAATATATGATTTTTGATGCTGATAATCGAGGGAAATATTTGCATAATAACTAAAATTTGTAAACAAAATAATTAAATAATATATATATATATATATGAAAAGTTTAGGCTTTTAAAATCATATTCTAACGAAATTAAATTTTATAATCAATGACTAAAATAATCTGTTTTTCAGAGTTATCTAAAAAATACTTTAAGGAAGAAGGAAAAGTTAATAAAAACAAATATTAAAATAAAAATTCTACAAAACCCTTCAAATTGTATCTGATTCAATCCAGGTACTGTAGACATTCCTTCATTTCCACCCCCAAGCATTTTCAATTTCCCTGTGAATTTTATAGAAAAATATTCCACGATTTGCTGTCATTCTTTATCAAATCACATGAATCTATTTAGCAATAATGAAATTTTTGTTCTTTTTACTGAATTACATGAAATTTTACAGATTGTTTTAATGGATTAATATACATGTGATAAAAAAATTATTTTATAGCTCGAATAGGATTAAAAAAGACATGTACATTTTAACTAGAATATTATATAATTTAAAAAATATAAATTAAATATTATGAGTTTAATTAAGTAATTTATTTAATTTGAGTAAATTAGGTAGTGAGGGTGAGTCACATAAAAAATGAGAGTGAGTATTTTTTTTTTAATATTTTATATATATAAGTTTTATTAAGAAAGTAGTTTCAAAATTAAAAGAAATTGTGGTACTTGAATTATAAAAAATAATATGGTTATTATTTTGGAGACAGTAGTGTTAAAAAAAT